GCTGTGTTTTCCTTCAGATTTCTCTATGAGCTGGGTGTACCTGACTTCCATTTGCTCTATCTCTTGCCTAAAGGAGGCATGTTGAGATGCTAGGGCTGATTCAATCAGCCCTTGGACCTTCTTTGTCCAGATTTCCGGTATCTCATCCGGAAGTGTAGGGGTGGAAGAGCTATGGAAATGAAAATTGGTTACCTGATGAGAGGATGGTGTTCTTTGGAAGAGTTGCATAGGAAGAGATTTAGCATCTTCTTGTACATCTTCTTCATCAGTAACCTTCAGTGTTCTTTCAGACTCTCCTTCTCCTTCATCAAGCGCAAAATTTGATATATCCCTAGAGAGGGAGTCTCTTTCTTCAGCTGCATTCTGTTCTTCAAAAATGGCTACTGGAGTTTGAGAGACCTCTAGTTCTGCCATTTGAGTTTCCTTTTCAGCTTCTCCAGAATTCCTTTGTGCTTCAACAGCTTGCTCCATTGTTTCTCGAAGAGCTGACTGTTCCGAAATTTCTGCTGACTTCTCCGGGATCTCAATTTCAGTAGGATTGGAGATCTCACAAGGAGTGGTGAGAATCTCCAAAACTTGAGATTGGATTAATTGCTGAAATTCTTCTTCTTCTGTTGTTTCCTGGTTCTGTTCTTGTGGGGGAGAGGTTGCCTTCTCTTCTACAGGATCTTCATCATCTGCTTCAAAGTCTGAAACTGGTGTGTTGGCCAGGTATTCCAGATGCAAGTCTTCAGGATTCCTTTGCCATACCCAGTAGTCATCCAAAATTTGTTCACAGTTGTGGTTGACTGGTATTCCTAAGCACTTCTTGATGATCTTCTCATTCTTCAGTTGTTAGTCCCAATTCAAGAGTTGCTCTGCTGAATTTCCAACTTTCCAGGCTTTCCAATTATAGTAGAGCTGCCAGAATTGGTTATCTGCATCATCTATTTGAGGTTGAGGTGATGAGGTTGGAAGGCTTTGGACTTGAGGGATTTCTTCTTCAAGTTGTTGAGGGCTCCGGTTTTGAGCAGAGGTTTCCTCAGCAGGTTCCTTCTCCTTTAACTCATCCGGATTGACATTTCCAGATGTTGATGGAGAGTTGATCTTCCTCTTCTTCTTCCTTTGAAGTTCTCCATGGTCAGAGACTTCTTCTTCCTCTTCCAAACAGATCAAAGCAAGGTTCTGTGGTGTTTCAACACTTGGAGAGGGAGACACCACATGCTTTCTCTTGGCAGTATTTGCGAAATTGATGAGTGGAACATTGTCTGATGAGCTTTCTTCTGCAGTGGCACTAGCACTAGCTCTGTTTTCTCCTTTGGAGGATAAGTAGTATAGCCAGTATCTGGCTTCATACTTTTTCCCTTTAACTGCAGCGCCCATAGATTCCAAAATATGTCCAATATACAGACCTTGGCAGAGATACTTCTGATTGTGCTTTCCTAGATGTTTTGAAATGGATTTGAAAAAGTGTGCAGCCCAGTTTACCTTAGTTTTGGTAATGAGAGAGTTGATGATGAAGGCTCTCTCCTGGGTGATGTCATCGGCATGACCTCCACTTCCACACTTGAGGCAAGCGATGACCAGTTCCAAAACCAACTTGTAATCGTTGTTTAGATCTGCTTTCTTCGCTGGGCCAGAAGGAACTTGCCCAGAGATTCCAATGATGTTCCAGTCCAGATTTTTGACTGGAAATTTCCCAACTTCAACTCCAGAATTGGGAAGGCGAAGCTTTTCTCCCAATTTATTTTGCGAAAGCTTCACTTTTGTACCTCCAACAGTGGACTTGATGACTGGAAACGTCCTCTGTGGGTTCTTCTTTGAATGAGCAGTTTTGACCTCTCCATTTCTGTAGAATTCAAGAACTTCTTCCTCGAATTTGAGGCGAATCTCCATTTGAAGAAATTCGGAGAGTTCTTGAGCGGCTATCATTTCCAGATAGCTTTGAAAGAATGTCGGTGATGAGCACTTGGCTTCTAACTTCTGGAAGTGGACATTTGCACCGACAACCTTCATTTTCTCAGAAATTTGAGTGAGAATTTGAGAGAGAAAGGTCTAGGGTTCTTGCGAGTTCTTTGAGAGTTTTTCGCGAAGAAGACGACGAAAAATTTTGAGTGGGCGGTTGAGATCTGAGTGGTGGCGATTGGGTTTAATTTAGGCGATTTTGCGGTTAGTGGCGATTGGGTTTTT